TCTGCCCTTTCAACTTCGAAGGAGCGTTAGCTGAGAAGAAAACTTCCGATTTACCGAAATTGAGGTGTTGACCCGAAGCCGAGCTATATACCTGGAGAGTCTGAGCCATTGCCATACTCTCCACAAGAGTAGCCTTGAAAAATAGAAGAACATCATCGGCGAAGAAAAGGTGGGACAACACTGGGCAAGTCCTCATCTTGATACCTGTAATTTGGTTGTCCCAAACTTTCCCATCGATCAACTTGGACAAAGTCTCAGCCACCAAGACAAACAGATATGGAGACAGCGGGTCGCCTTGTCTAAGGCCACAGGAGGGTGTAAAGGATGCCCTCTTTTCCCCATTCGCAAAGATGGAAAACTGGACTGTAGTAACACACGTCATTACCCAACAGATCCAAAGGTCATGAAAACCCATTTTCTGAAGCACAGCTTTGAGGAAGTCCCATTGAATACGATCATATGCCTTGGAGAAGTCTAGTTTTAAAGCTAAATCCACTTGTCTCCCCCTTTTTTTCTGCTTCAAATAGTGAAACCCTTCATGTGCCACCAGAATACTATCTTGAATTAGTCTGCCCGAAATAAAGGCCGCCTGATTTGGGGAGATAAGAGGGTGGAGAAAGCGTTTGAGTCGGTTGGCCATAAGCTTAGTGATAATCTTCATTTTGAAATTACACAGGCTGATCGGTCTATATTGTGAAAGTTTCTCCTAAGTCGCTTCCTTGGGAATTAAGACCGAATTAGTGTTGTTCCATTTAGGAAAAACAGACCCCAGATTAAAGAAATCCCGAATTGCCAAGCACACTGCAGGACCCACAATTTCCTACTGATTGTGATAGAAGATGCCTGAATACCCATCTGGCCCTAGAGCTTTAAGAGAGCCAAGTTGAAAGGCTGCCGACTTGATCTCCTCATCGGTAATAGGTTTAATAAGCTCAGCATTTACCTCCACGGAAACTTCGCTTGTAACCATCAAAAGGGCCTCTGTAAAGTCCCTGTCATCCGCTACTTGAAAAAGATTTTGAAAATAAGAGAGTAGGTGCTAATTGATTGCTCCATCCGACTCTAACCACTCCCCTTCCTCAGATAGCAATTTCACCAATTGATTTCTCTGCCTCCTCTAAACCACTGTTGCATGGAAAAATAAGGAGTTTTTGTCCCCGTAGTTAAGCCAATTAACCCTAGATCTCTGGTGTTGGTACATTTCCTCTTGGTTCAACACAGTTTCCAAATCCCTCTGTAATTCGCGAATTGTAGCCATTCTTGCATTAGAGTAAGGGCAAGCTTGAAGCTGTTGAATTTCGGATTTGAGAGAGTTTATTCTGATCCGGTTATCCCCAAATTTGGCCCTTCCCCAAGTGACTAATCTATGGCTGTAAGACGTGAGTTTCGTAGAGACAGAATATCGGTGACCCATGATTGTTTTTGGCCCAGCAAAAGCTAATAACCTTAGCACATTCAAAATGAGAGGTCAACATAGACTCAAACTTGAAAAGTCAAGGAATTCTCTTCGGAGGGAGCGAGCAATGTAATAGCAAGGGACAGTGGTTGGACCCGATGAGAGCTTCGTGATGGACTTGAGCATAAGGAAACAAGTGTCGCCAGTCCACGGTGGCCAAAGCTTTATCCAGCCATTCACAAACATTCGCCTCTCCTCCCTGATTGTTTGTCCATGTGTAGGGAGCCCTTTTAAACTCTAGATCCATTAATTCACAATCCATCATAAACTCTTGGAAAAAATGCATCCTGGCTCTGTTGCCCTCTCTGACCCCTTGCTTTTCCCAAGACCAGCCAATCTCGTTGAAATCACCTAAACAAAGCCAAGGATAGCCATTCGAGACTGCCATCTCGTGAAGGGCATTTCAAAATCGTTTCCTTCCAGCCCAACGAGGAGGAGCATACACAAAGGTAGTTAACCAAGCTGTGCTAACATCATTGGAGGCAATGATACACCTAAAAACATTCTGAGATTTCATTCACATTTGGAGATCCACTCATCTTTCTACCACAAAGCGAGTCCTCTAGCAATACCCATCGGATCTACATAGCAATGGTTGGTAAAATGGAGTCTTCTCCTAATCCTTTCCAAATAAGATTGTTTATTCTTGGTTTCCATGAGAAACATTATTGCAGGGCGATGTGTCTGGCACAACCCTCGGAGGATCTGGACTGTTAAGGGTCACCCAAGCCCCTAACAGTTCCAGCTGATAATCAGCATATGTCTTGTGGCTTTTTAGGGGCAGCCACCAACGCTCATGGGTTGACAACAGAATCATTTTTAGTTTCGGGGTACGAATTGGGGACTTGGGAGTTACAATCCTCAATCTCAATAACAGAAGGAGTGAAAGTTACCTGGCTCGGTATCGGTGTCTCAAGATCTGGCTCAGCAGTCTGAATTACCACATCCACCAAAGATAAATCCCTTAAAGGAGTAAGGCATTTGCCTCAAGGTCTTCCCTGTTTGCCTTTCTTCTTATATGCTGGAGTGGAACTATGGCCAACTGAGTTGATCATTGGTATGAAAACCTGCTAGTTCGAGGCTTCCAGTGGTAGTGGAGGTAGAGCCCCTCTTACCCTCTAACGTTTTTTCTAATTAGAGTCTAGGTCTTCAGAAGCAAAGTCTTTCCTCTTAAGAGTCAAGTGTTGGAGGGCTTGAGAAAAGCAGCCTTCAAGTGCAAGGCCTGAGGTAAAGGGAGATTTGTCTGGAAAAGCCTCGTTTAAACCGTGCTGTGGAGGCCCCCAAATTTGGGCTGAGTCAATATTGCCTATGGTCCCAATGTGGTTTGGGCTAAACGGAGGTTCTGTCACAAAATAGATGGGCCTAGTGGGGGCCCCAGATGACGGCTCATGAGGTGGATCAAGTCTAAAGCTGGGCCTTAGTCTAGGTGGAGGCCCACTATCCGCCTTATGTTTTGGAGAGGGTAATGGGCTTACCTGGCTCAACAGTTGTATGGGAGTAATCGTAATGCCAACGGCAGCATTAGAAGGAGCTTGTCAAAGTCCCCCACGTGGCGGTGTTGGGAGGTTGGAGCTCTGTCCTCCGCATGGCTCTGCCAAAGAAGTGGGATTTAGAGGCTGTGAAGGAGTGCTGCACGTATCTGTACGTGGCGACAGCCCTGGTTTTGGCCGTACTGTTGAAGCACACTCTGGTGGTTTGTTCCGGCCAGTTAAGATAGGTGCCAAACTATCTTCTAATTCATCCACTGCCCGGCGATAATATGCATTAGGAAGGCCAGTATTTCCAGCAGTAGTAGTTCGGAGCTCTGGACCATAGTGGGATGATGCACGTTCCTCTGTAGAGACAAACTTGCAAGAATTATGCTCATGTCCCAACCTTCCACAATCATAGCAAAAATTAGAGAGTTTCTCATATTTGAAAGTGAGCCAAATATCATCATTCCCCTGACCCCATTGGAGCCACAAACCCCGGGGTAACGGTTGTTGGGTGTCAATGGCCACTCTGATCCGTACAAAGCTTCTGTAGAATAGAAGGCCCTTAGTATGCGCTTCAACACGAATCAAACAGCCAATCCTACCCCCTAAAATATTGCCATTCTGTTTGGTGAGTTTTTGAATGGGGAGTCCATGGACTTGAACCCGAAAAGGGCATCAAGTGAAGTCTAATTCCTCTGCCGTCTGACTTGGAGAAAGGGGTTGCACAATCAAAAGCCACCCCATAACCGACCATGGACTGTCACGTAGGATGCAATGGCGGTCATCATCCTCGCTGAAATGAAATAGATACACATTGTCATTCCATGGAGAGAGATTGTGAGTTCACCATGGGTCCTCCAAGCGGTTCGAATGATGTTAGACACAGCCGTTTTGTTCAGGGGCTTGGGAGCCAAGATTTTCCCGATTAGACAGTGGCTGGAAGTGTTTTCACTCTCCCCGCTACCTTCGACCAAGAATAAACCGTCGGCAATAGGTAAGGGAAGTGACGACGGGGATGGGTGGGAGCGATCTGCCATATAGTCCATTGCCAAGGAGGAATAGAAAAAAAAACAGGGGAGAAGGAAGGAAAGCAAGGGATGGAGAAGAGAGACGGAAAGAAAGGGAGGAGGTGAGATGAGGGACAAACCCTAGAAACACCAGAAGAAATTTAGGCTGAGGCTCTCATTCTTGAGAGAGATGCTCTCATTTTAGAGAGAGACTATAACATTTTTCCCATTCAATATTGTGATCCTTGCATTTTTGTTGACCTTATTGTTGGGTAATTTGCATTTTGAATATTTAAATAGTCCCTTATTCTTCCTTCACCTACATACTGTTTGATAGAATGCTTTGGTACAAAATGTCTTTTGGCCATGCTTGGTTGAATGAAAGGTGTGTTTGATTGCCTAAGGTTGTTTGAGTTTTTGCACATGAAGATTGCTCTTTTTTTTCTTTTCTTTTTTCCGGGAGGGGGGAATGTCAGTTTATCTCTTTTAAGCTTCAATGAAGATGGAAAGTAAAAGAAATATTTGGTGCAAGCATCAAGATGCACTTGCATATTTGTAGCTTTGTTCATATTTCTAGACATAAATAAATATATTAAAAATCATTATACCTATAAATACTATTGCTAATGCATCGAATTTGATGAGGTGAATATCGTTTTTATCTCTTTAGAATTCAGTTCTTTAATTTAGTGTGATTAATATAATGAACATTATGTGTATACTAATCTATACATATGCACGAATATTATGTGTATCCTCGATACAGATACAAACATTATCAACTTCAAATTCATGATTCAAACATAGCCTTACCGTTTTTTGTTTTTCTTTTTCTCATGCTTTTATGGAGGTGCATAATGATTTTTGAGAGTACATTGCTTTTTGAAATAGTATAATCTTATCCTTGTTTGGAATATAAAAAAGCAGCATGAACTATCTTCATCATCATTGTTGTTAGATGTACAATAATTGAGAAAAAACCCTATTGGTAGCATGGGTGTGACTTAAGTATAGTGTTGGTCAATTGACTTGAGGCTAATTTTCATGGTTAAACCTTTTCAGGACCAAGGTGGCCTCCATTGATTCTATTTTCCTTACGATTAATCATGGGTGTTTACTTCTACGGAATAATATGGGACAAGGTTGGGAAATTGGTAGAGGTGGTTGTGATAAGAGAAAAAGGCGATGCCCCTTTGAATCTAACCATGGTTGTTGTTGATACTAGTCCCGATAAATTTAACAGGTAACGATATCTTGTATGCATTTTCATTAATGTCTACATATATTTCTATCAATCTTTAAAATGGGTGTGAATTCATGTGGTTTTTATGATATTTTGTCAAAACAAAATTGGATTTATTTTTGAGTAGTGTTATTAGCACTCGAAGAATTAATTTGGACCCCCTATTTTTTTGGATCCCTATTTCTAATTTTTGAAACGCTAAAAATTTCTTTGGACCCCCCAAATAATGTCAAAATTATCCTTAAACATTCTACGCAATTGAATGTGCACCCCCACACTCTCAAAAAAAAACTTCTATTCCAAAAAAGACCTAACAAAACCTCATCCTTTTCAAACCCACGAACAAGAAGTGTAACTCTGTGACTCTGATATGCTCTCTCTCTCTCTCTCTCTCTCTCTCTCTCTCTCTCTCTTATCCGATTATGGCCAGAAAGATAGATTTCTGACATGTTTATCTGCCTTTTCCTCTCTGTCTCATGTCTACTGTTGTTATTTTGTGGTTGGTACTTAGGAAATTTTAAGAATTTTAACCATTCAAATTGTTGACAAATTTTCATGTTCGGACTTGTATTCCTGAACAAATAAGCTATGTTCGGGAATGTGTTCTCGAACAAATTAGTAATGTTCGGGCCTGTATTCCTGAATTTGGAAAAATGAAAACTTCTAGGAGGTCCAAATAATAAATGTTTGGTTAGCAGTTCTCGAACAAATAAACAAAATTCGGGCCTATGTTCTCGAATTTTGATCATATGTTCGGGAGTTCAGTCTCGAAAAAGTGACGAACATATTTTAATATTTCTATCATTTTTTTTCAAGAAACTTATCCTTACAAGGTCAATCTCCTCTGAGCTAATAACATCAAAGTTATGAATCTCCTCTAAGCTTTTATTATTGTACTCCTTTCGTTTTATGGAATTGTGATTGTCAGAAAAACTTTCACTCATTGTCATTGTCAGAGAAGTTTAGGTAATCAAATGGTTGCCACCGTTACCGTCAAAATATTGCCGCCAAAGGTTTTTCAAGATTTTGAGGGTGGGTAGATTTTGAAGGTGGGATTTGGGAAAGATGGATGGGTGGTGATGGAGGTAGGTGCTCTCATAAATCCTAATTTGTGTATAAATTTAATTGTGAGTGGGGTGTCTCAAAATTAATACTGTCTTTTGTAATAATTTTATTTGAAATTATTATTGTAATAAATAATAAATAAATAAAAAAAACTAAAAATTGAGATGTCCAAAATAATTAATAGAGTGCTAATAGCAGCACTCTTATTTTCTCAGTGACTGAGATTAGTGGGATTTATTTTTTCAGTAGTCTAGAATTTTTTCCGAGGATTCATTTCTTTGCCATGAGGTGGATGTATTAGTTACGATAACAATTTTATTGTGCTTTATTCTGATTTTGTACTGTGTACCTTTTCTTCTCAGGTGGCTGCTCCCGGATAAATCAATGTCATCTGTTTAAAAGAATTCGATTTCGATAATATGTATGAACACAAGTCTAGGGAATTATTGAATGTGATGTTTACTTTGTGCATGAAAAAAAAAAAAAAAAATTGTACAATTGTAAATAGTTTATATTTTTCACCCTTATTTGTTTTGTATATAAGGAAATTTACCTATAAATCTCATCTTGAGAAATAATGATTCATTTAGTCTCAAATTTTTTTTTATAAACGAATTAGTCCCATTGATTTTAGAAAGATAGATTTAATATATTATTTAAAAATTAGATTTACAGTTATATCTTTATTTGTATTATGTTTATTTCTCTTTTTTGTTTGTGTTAGAAAGTGTGCACAATTTATGGAAATAACTTGGGTTGAATTTCGTCCAAACAAAAAAAAAATTGGGTTGAATTTTTATATGAGAATTTTTTTTGTTTGGAAAATATTTTAAAATGAGTATAAAAAAGACTTGAAATATGAAAATTTTCAAATATTTTAAAATGATGTGGGATTCTTTAAATATTTTAAAAGGAATACAAAAACTTCTTAATAAGTTTTGAGTAAATGTACAATTTCAAATTGTAGTACTTCAATAGAACACTTTCAAAAAAAAAATCTTTAGAGTTTTTTTTTTAAACGTAACACTCTAATATAATATTCTTAAAAAACTCAAAAGTGCAACACTCTAATGTAACACACAAATTTCTTAATGTATTTTTCTTAAATGTACAATCCAATGTAACATTTAGGTTAGGTTTTTGTAATTGACAATTTTGTTTGATAAAATTCTTTTCAGTTGTAATTTTATCTGTGAGAGTTGAATTACGAATTGAGTGGATTATATCAAAAGGTTTGTTTAACTTGTTTTATTCACAAAAAAGAGAGTTGTTCTTCGTTAGATTCTGTGAAATTTGGATTTGAAATTTTGGTGAATTCTGGAGTGGTTTATCGTCATGGATTTGACATCGGCGTCATGGATTCAACATTGAACAAGACAATTTCGAGGTGAAGACGGTAATGGAAAAGGCTCATTGGGGTCGGTTTAATTTAGGCATGGATTCGCTAGGTAATTGAGAGTATACTTGTGTAATTCTTTTTTTGTCTTCTTAGTGAATTGTTTTGTGACTTTGACCCGTGGTTTTTTTTATCACAATTGGTGGCGCTCCAGTTGTGAGTGTCAATTTATCTTTGATTGTTTGATTGGTATTGTTATTTACTACTTAAAATTGATATATAATCACAAATCAATATCTCGGGAATTTTGAGATTTTTCAATTTCAAAAAAGGATGTGGGATTCAAATTATTTTAAAAGGAGTACAAAAATTCTTTAGTAAGTTTTGAATAAATGTATAATTTCAAATTATGAGTGTTACGTTTGGAAAAAAAAAAAAAACACTATGGAATTTTTTAATGCTTTGTGTGTTATATTAGAGTGTTACATTTGGAATTATATTATTGAAGTGTTACATTTGAGAAAAATACATTACGGAGTTTTTTTTATTTTTTATTTTTATGTTACGTTGGAGTGTTACGTTTGGGAAAAGTACATTAAGGAGTTTTTTTTAGTATTACGTTTTTAAGTTTGGAAAAATCTAAAATTTCTATAGTGCGGATTACCCAAATGTATAATTTTACATTTGGAGAAATTTATTTTTATCCCTAAAAAATTAAACTCAAACATGTAAGTAATTACTTTTTTGTGTAATTTTACTTTAAAGAGACCTTTGGGTTCATAAAAAAAAAAAAAGGAAGGATCAAACAATTTAAAAAAATCACATTTTAAAATTTATTGATACTTCACCATTGTATATATTGGAACCATTTTCCAGTTAATTAACTACATATTTAATTACCTTAATCCTGTGATGATATCTACCCTTGTAAGTGTTATTGGCTTTTATACATATAAATTTTTGTGACAAACCAATTCAACTGAGGTATGGGAGTTTTTTTTTTTTTTTTTTTTTTTTTTTTTTTTTTTATTTTCTAGTGTTGGGTACAATAAAATTTAAAAGTCTGAAAAAAAATATTTTCTTTTAACGGAAAACAAGTATTTCAGTCAGAAAATGTTTCAATTTTTTTTTTTTTTGAAAGTTTAAAAAAAGTTTTATTTTCAAAAGTGAAAAATATTTTCTAGACTAAAGTTTTATCATTCGCATCACATTATTTCCACCACTACCATCATTGTTGTTGCCACCACCACCATGGCCACCTTCATCACGTTGACACCACCACTATACTGTCAGTCTGCTGCCACAACCAGCACCAAGAGTTGTTTGGGCGTTTTTTTTTCTTTCTTTAAATGTATTTTTTTATATTTGGTACAATGAAAAACGAAAATTGTGATATCTCAAGTTCTTTTTAAAACAAATTAAGTATTTCAATCTTGAATTTCCACTTCTTTTGGTATCGTTGCTACTTGGGAACCTTACAAGTCTCATGTTGTTGCCCGTTCTTCTTTAGAGTTACTCGTGTACATCCTAGTGTGTTTTGGGGTGTTGTTTTGCATTTGTGAGTGTTAAAGTGAGTCCGAGATTAATAGGAGTGCATTAAGGTAGCTAATGTCTATTTTGAGTTGGGATCGCTCGAGCGGTACTTTCGTCGCTCGAGTGGTAATGTCGACCTTCCAGTATTTTGTTTTGCAGTTTGAACTTCTAGGAATGTATATTCTTCACTCGAACAAAGGTTTAATCGCTCGAGCTGTATTTTGCAAGGAGGAAAGAAATTTTGGGAGTTGGCTTTTTTTGTTTAAGCGTAGGATTGTTTGCTCGAGTGGTCTTAGAATTTGAATTGATCGTTCGAATGCAAGATTGTTTGCTCAAGTAGTCTATTCGCAGTCCACTTCAAAAAATGTGTCCAATCACTTAAAAGTTGAGCATTTACACACTTTTATTTCACTTTTCACTTCACACACACACTCTCTCTCTCTCTCTCTCTCTCTCTCTCTCTCTACACATTAACTCTCACTTTCTTTTCTCTCATCTTTTTCTAGAAACCCACCTCATTTACTTCCTTGATCTCTCCATATTCTTTGAGATTTTGACCCTAGTGCCTTCTTTAATTTTGGAGAGCTCATACAATGGAGATCAAATTTTGACGTTGTTGATTTCAAAACTTTGTCATCTTTTTTTCTCAAATCTTGAAGTAGGGAGTTTCTTTGAGTTATATATATGTTTTGGGCATGTCTAGCTTATTTTTGTTATGATTTTTAATGAAGGGTTTGAGGTTTGGAACGATGAGTTTTGGAAAGTGTTTCAAAGATAATTTTTATGTATCTTGGTTCAAATTAAATTATTTTATGAATTTATGAACCTCTTGAAAGTATATGGAAAGGTAATGTCTTGAAAACGGAAAAAGACTCTCTTTTGGTTAAACCCTAGCTTTTTGGGAAGAAATGGGGGAATATAGATTTTTGTGAAGCAATAATGAAATTGTGGAGATTTCTTTAAGAAAATGATGAGATTATCACATGTGGTTGTGTTGTTTGAAATATCCATGAGATGAATGAATGTTGTTATTTGAAAATCTTGGATAGCATGAATATATATGTGCTTGGACTATGAAATGAAAATAAGTTTTGATTGTGAATATGAGATGGGTATCATATATCACATGTATATGGATTTTGATGCGATTTGGGGTAATGTTAAGAATCATAGAACGTTACGATAAAATCTTATAATTACACTTCATTTCATTCATTTTGCACAAGTTTTGAATATTGTTTATTCTGGCAATGCCTTTGGAATTTGTAACGCCCCAAAATAATAACAACTCATAACATGATATTTTGTAAAAAGTATAACTTACGATACATTTAACATTTCATTGGTATTCCTTAATCGTACAAAAGATGACATATGCATGCATACATTCATAAATCCTAGATCATGAATCTATAGCATATGTCATTTGTAAATGAATCGAAACAAAAGGGCGTACAGATAAGTTTATGCCCCAATGGCTACATCTTTCCAAGTCAATACTTAGGTACAACAAAAGTGAATTAAACTCAATACAAATAAAGTCCAAGGTTTGTACAAAAATAATTACACAAAAGAAACAAAAACAAAAATGAAGCTCTTGACTCCAAGTCCTCCCAAGTTATGTCCTTGGTAGAGGCATGTCATCAGCACCTGAAAGTTGTTTTCCACATAGGGTGAGTTAAAACCTAATAGAGATACTTTAACACAATGTATAAAACTTAACGAAGTCATAAGGTATATGCATGCCATTTGCCAAACATTATACATTTCCATCTCCAAACAATGCAATGCCAATATTATATATCAATTCATGAAAAATATATTTTTTTATTAGAAAACAAGGCAATGGATACAAAACACTAGGAATCTCCAGGTATGTATTTTCCAGTAGGCTATACAAACACTACCAAAGCCATTTTATTGGTACTAATTGGAAGTATCGGCACCTAACTGCACAGGTTTCTGAACTTTCACCAAGGACCCATAGGTTAACATAATAAACCACAACTACACCCCCTAACTAGATTCACCAAGGTATACACTCATTTTTCTCAAAACAATACATTTTCAATGTTTAAGTATGAAACAATGCTCAATGCAAGATGTATGAGTAATTAATTTGAATCTAATCCTCATATAATTTCTACAATAATCATAACTATCCTCCACCGATAACCCAAAATAGAAATTTCTACTCAATAGATAATTTTTCAACAACAGATACAATCCCATAATTTTCAAAATAGGAGCGATAATACATATCCAACTCCACTCTCATCATCAATAGATACATTCTTCTTATCTTTTCAAATCCAACATCTTTTCCTTTTCTTTCATAAATCAAACATCAATGATTTTCAAACAAAACCTCATTTACTTTCAAAATCACATTTAAGGAAGGATATTCTAACATTTCAACACAACCCAACATTGTATACACTCCCACAACCTTTCTTAAGAATTTATTTGAAAAACCCCTCTTTTATATTTTAAAATCAAACCCTAGGTTTAACTCAGAATCTCCAAATCACTAAACCTTTTCAAAGAGTAAATAACTAAGCTAAGAATCATACCAAAGGTTGAAGAAATCCATACCTTAAGAGTAGAAGAGAAAGAAAGTAAGGGTAGAAGTTTGACTAGGCTAAAAATGAGATCTTCTCCAATTAAAATGAAGCTTTTGACGAGCTCTACGTTTGTCTCCAAGGAACTATGGTGGAAAAATCAATGGATTAGGGAG